CGTAGAAAGAGACGTTCGCTTCGAATTGTTCACGCTGAAAAATCCAATCGAACCACAAATTTTAACATTCAACAATTATTCAACGGTGAAAGAGTCAAATTTCAATGCTTGGCATCCGACACGAATTCTCATCCATGGCTGGTATTCGGAAGGATTGCTAACACCACGATTTGCCGATGCGTATCTTGTTAGAGGCAATCATAAGGTCAATTTCATCGCGGTAAACTGGCAAAAAGGGTCGGACGTTTATAACTACCTTTATGCGCGGCGACGTGTCAAAGAGGTGGCCGAACATGTGGCACGATTCATCGATTTCATGTACGAAAAGGCGTGGATGCGAATTTCAGATTTAACTCTCGTGGGACACAGCTTAGGCGCCCATGTAGCTGGCATCAGTGAGTTTGTTTTTCAATGAAATAAAAAATAATCAATATGTTTTGATGGAACTGCTCTTATCGAGAATCTTCATGACGCACAAAATGATAATTTTCTTGGATTTGATAGCGGTCAAGTGCGTTTGTCTTGTCAATATTGTCTTATCGAAAATTGTTATTCTGCAGCTGGAAAAAAGATCACCAAGGGGCAAGTTAGCCGCATCGTAGGCTTAGATCCAGCCTCACCTTTCTTTAATTACAATGACGTCGATGGTCGACTCGCCGAAACCGACGCTTCGTATGTTGAAGTCATTCACACATGTGCTGGCACATTGGGATATGCGCAGCCACTTGGCACTGCAAGCTTTTATCCGAATGGAGGCCGTGCACAGCCTGGATGTGGCTGGGACATGAGTGGTGCATGTGCTCATGGCAGAGCATATGAATTCTATCTCGAGAGTATTGTCAAACCACAATTTTATGCATTCCAATGTGAATCAATTGAAACATTGCGAAAAGGCAACTGCTCAGTCATCAATCATGTTGTGCAAATGGGCGGCGAACCAGGAACAAAAAAGTAAGGACATTTACAACCGTCCAACTTTTTTCGAAGTTGAACTAATTGTTTTTTCTATATTTATTTTCACAGAGGTAGAGGAATTTATTATCTCCAAACAAATAGCGAATCGATATTTTCACGCGGCAAACGCGGACTTCTGCAGGCAGTGTTATCTTCAAAGAAAAAGACATCACTTAAAACGATTATAGCGAATTTGTTTAGCAAGAAGCCAGTCAATGAAACTTCAGATATGAACAAAGAAGAGGTGCAAAAGTTATTGTCGAAATGGACCCCAATAGATTGGTTTAATGATGAAAACTCAAGCGAGGTCAAAGTAAAAGAGAAAAATGAAACTTTGTTATCGATCGCCACAGATTCGTTCAACAAAATGACAGTCAATGCGACCTCAGATGTGGTCAAAGAAGAGGTAAAAAATGAAACTGTAAAATCAATTGAAACCGATTGGTTTAATTGGAAACCGACCAATGTGACGGTAGAAGAAGCAGAGAGAAATGAAATTGCGAAAACGATCGCAAACATTTCATTAAACAAACAGCCATTCAATGCAGCCTTGGATGTGGCAATAGAAGAAGAGAAGGAATCGTGGAAACAGTTCTTAACAAATTTATTCAAGAAAAAGACTGTCGATTGGGTTTCAAATAAGAGCATGGAACCAGCTCATATTAGAGTTTGAATATTTAGCACGTTTTTTCTGTAAAATTGTAATTTATGACGAATAAATATTTTTCATGCAGAAAAAATGATTGAAAACAGTCCTTCTTTAATCGAATAATTTTAAATATCGAAAAATGTGTCATTTGGAGAATAAAATGCACGATTTGCTACTTCTTATTTCAACACAAATTGTAATTAATTGATAACGTTCTCGTTATGTTCATCGCCAAATGATGAGATCAAGTGTGTCACAGAAACGTTACCGAATCACTAATAGCGATCAATATAATTTTGTATTTGAGTAAAAAGCAATATTTCTTGCATTTTTTTATTTAATCTCTACTTATTTTCCAATCCGAAATGGCATTTAAATTCTTTAGTAAATTGAACCTCAAGTGAACAAATTCAATTAAACTATAATGAAAAAGAATAAATTATCTATTTCCCATGGAATTTAGTTGAAATCTGTCTGAATGAAACGCTTTTAAATGTGAATAAATGCGGAACGGAATGCGGCCCCCGTTGATGAAAAGTTATTCATTGTGAGCAACGGAGCAAGGTGAGCGCCATCTATTGTTGAGTTAGAACACGAGCCTCTGGAAAGCTAATAAAGCTGCATTGTGTGTCCTCCCTTACACAAATACACACACAGCGCTTCATCGGCAGTGACAGCTGCGTAATGTGTCAAATCGAGAATGATAACACACGATTTAGGTTATATTTTTCATTTGTTTTGTAAATGATTCGTTGGTAAATTTTTATTTAACTGTTGAAAATGAAAGAAAAATAGGAAATATTCAATTGATGGTTTATTCTTCTTATAGACAATTCAACAATTCAAAATCATCCGTTGTTCAAATGCATCAAGTGAAGCGGCTTATTCTAATTGATATTGACTGAATTTAATTCAACAAAAGATAAAAAAAAAATGTTACCGAGTTCGTTGACACAGCGAATTTTGCAAAGATTTCCGGGAAAATTAACATACTGCTTTGCATATGGATCGGGTGTAAAAAAGCAGACGGGCTACGATGACAAAGCGCAAAAAGATGCAATGATAGATTTGGTGCTGTGTGTAGACGATGCGTTTGAATGGCACAAAGAAAATTTGCAAAAAAATCCCCGCGATTATTCGTGGATGCGGTTTTTGGGATCGAAAATTATTGCAGAATATCAAGAATATGCGGCTGGTGTCTACTGTAAGACACTTTTGATGTCAGCGGATCTTTTAAAGTTTTTATATCCATTTAAATACGTTTATTTTGTAAACATTTTAGGTAACACCTTAATACCCATTGACAAACATGTCACAATAAAATATGGTGTGATTCGAACGCAAGACCTGAGTGACGATTTGTATCATTGGCCACATCTATATGTTGCCGGACGATTGCATAAGCCAGTCGAAACACTAATCGAACCGAATGACGAACTGAAGAACGATTTGGCGAAGAATTTCGAAAGTGCTGTCCATGCTGCCCTCTTACAATTACCCGAACGATTTACCTATTTTGAATTATTTCATGCGATTGCAAATATTAGCTACAACGGTGACTTTCGAATGTTGTTTGGCGAGAAGAAAGACAAAGTGAAAAACATTGTTGAACCGCAATTAGATGCATTTCTTAAATTGTACAAACCATACCTGCGGAATATGTCACATTGCGTTCATATACCTGACCTATCGAAAGTGTGTGATACGAGAATTGAACAGACTAAATCACACGACACTATACTTGCACATTTGGAAGCATTACCAACACGTGTCCAGAAATTGTTAAACGAAATAACACAGGTGCCACTGTCAGAGCTAGCTCAGAAACCTGACTATGATACTCAAGTTAAAACCGCCATTGGTGTGATTAATTGGGACAACAGCTTTGCGCAAACATTGAAAAATATTCCCACAGCCGGTGTGTTCAAAGCAATTAAATATGGTGCAAAGAAAGCGTTGAAAACATTTTCCAAGTAATTTTTCCGCAGAAATCGATTTTTACGGAGTTTTCACTGAAAAAATTAGTATTGTAAATAAATTGTTGAATGAATATTGAATATGAAAATCGTTTTTTTTCACTTTGGATTTATTTTCTTGCATTTTTTTCACTTCTTGTTCTCAAACGAATATTTACAATAATTTTCATTTCTCATTCCAATTCTTCAACTTAAATTTAGCGTGCAATCATACACTATTTAAAAAAAAATATTACTGCTTGACTTAAACACCCTCGACAATACCAAGACTAAAAAAAAATTTAAAATTAATATTTAAATAGAAACTTCATTGATTTTGATTTAACGTAAAACTATCTCTCCAAAAAAATATGCCTAGATTTAATTTAACACCACAAATATATTTATCGTCTGCTGCTATTTGAACAAAATATCACTATCAAATGGATTGGTATTTGAATTATATTCATTGAAAATGTTTTTGATTGATGATTTTAGTGATGCATATGCATTAAACACTCACATTCATTCACACCACACACTTAGAATATATACATTTTTGCATTGACAATCAAACGAAAATACACACACTTTAAATAACTAAATTGGTAAAAATTAAATGATCACAATCTAAATATTCTTTAATCTTCGTTTCAACATAATGTATGCCAAGGCTTTGAATAGAACTAAATGTACAAAAATCATTGATACATCGAGTTCATAATTGGTCGCATTCATGCCAAGCTCACGAATTATCATCTTCGGATTTCTGCACACAGAACAAAAAGAGAACATGTAAAAATTAAAATTCATTCATTAAAATGCGTGGTAGGTAATCATTCATCATTTCGAAATTATGTGTGATCAAATACTGATACTTACTTGTAATGACAGTACACAATATCTTCGGGACAGGAAATATCTTCACGGTTGTGATCGTACACGGACAAAACAAGGGCTTCTAATGTGTAACTGTGTGTTGACACATAAGAAAATACTCGCATCGCTGGAATCATGTGCGACCAAAGTGCCAAAAATCCGCAAAATGCCAATTTAAATGCCGTGATTATAGCCGCCCAAAACGTGCCATTCTGTAAAATAAGATAATAATAAGTGATTTTCGGTAAGAAATTATGTGTTGCACGACAGGTCGTGTGCTATGCGGCGTTAAGAACAGTAAACAAATTTTTTATGTTCAGAAAAAAAAAACTTGGCATTGTTTTAAAGAAATTCTCATTTCCGTTACATTAAGACATTTTCGAAAGTCCGGTCTTGAATTTTATTAGAGAATGTAAACAAAATCTTAAAAATTGTTTGACTTATGGTTCTTGTTTACGGAATGAAGGAAGCGACAGTCATTCTGCATTCCCACTTTGACATAGTATTTATTCTGTATATTTACGGAAGTGAAACAAGTTTTTTTTCTGATGGTGATCGGAACTAACAAAACTTAAAAATCAATTTTTATTGAAATCCAATGAAAACAATAAAGTGATAACACTTACGACTGGATTGGCAATTGCGCCCAACAGTAAACCCAAACCATCAGCAACAATTGTGACTAATACATAAACAAGCGTAAATCGGGTATATCGATTCAATTCCCACGGCTGATCAGTCATGCAAAATATGATAGTGGAATAGATGGTGGCGAACAAGATCTGTTTTGGAAAATGAAGAGAAATAGAGCGGATCATTGAAAATGAATCTCAATCGTTTGAATCAATGTTTCATTTTGCTTACATGAATTGGTGTAGTGGTAAGGGTGTTGGCCAGGAAATACGTTCGAACTTTGTACCAGTTGTTGAATGTTTCCTTCCGTACAATTGCTAATTCGGTGGGAACTAAACCGAAATGAATAAAAAAAAAATACAGACACGAATTATTTAAAACTGGTTAAACAAGCAAAATATATTATGTAAAATCATTTGCTTACATTTCAAAACACCGGGCATAACAGTAGTGTACCAGAGATAAGCGACGCCAATGAGAAGAAAGCCAACATTTTCAATGGATTTGCTTGCATTTGACCCCGAATCACCGTACAGCAAACCGATGAGAGTTGCACATAAAATATGCAATACTAATTTCAGGTGGGTTACCGTCTAACCATTTATTTAAACAAAAAAATAAATTCCATTTAAAACTTCAATCCACAAAACAATTGCAGCAATTATAATTGCTTGACAAATAATTATTTCGCTAATACTTACCCAATCACGATAATAATAAACTTGGCACCGGCCAACGAGCGTCCAAAATTTTGACCATTCTGATGGCGGTCGGATCACTTCTTTGCCATCCATTGAATATTGTTTCTTCAGTAGCGGCATTTCAGGGCAACCAAGCGTATCCACTTTAATAACTGGTGTGTTTTGATCATCGGCATCGTAATCGTTTGACTTATCCGTTTGATAGCACAGCGATCGGTTTGCGGATGCCGCTAATTGTGGGACAAATTCCCCATAATCACCGTTTGCCACCTCAATTACTGAAAACAAAAACAAATTGATGCGAACGATTTCATTGATGACATGTTTACATTTTTGTTGTTGTTATTTCCAAATTGAGATTGTAACATTATGTATGATCCTTACAGAAATCGGCTAAACTGTGGTACATAGGACATTGTAGACCATTTTCAGCGAGATATGATAATGTATTTCCAGCCGCACCGCGATACACACACTGACCTTGAGCCAAAACATACACTTGATCGAACATTTCGTAAATAGCAGCTGACGGCTGATGAATTGTGCAAATTATCGTTCGACCTTCTCGAGATAAATTGTGCAACAGTTGAACGCAGTACGATGACGATGAACTATCCAAGCCACTGTTGATACCAAAAAAAATGGAAATATAAGGTTTAATCAATTGACTTTGGTTGTTTTTTATTTTTTGGTTGGAAAAGAAAAGTCATTTATTTTTAATTACCTGGTTGGTTCATCAAGAAAAAGTACTTGTCTATTATCAAGCAGCTCTAGTGCAATTGATAACCGCTTCCGTTGGCCACCAGACAAGCTACCACATTTTGTGAACTTTGAGCGAATCAATTGCAATGTGTTCAACACATTGTCTATCTGTAACGAGAAAGAATATTGAATTGAAACAAAATGTTGTGTGGAAAAAGAAAACGGTCAATGCCTTAGGTCTCAAGTGTAGACATTCCTTATAGACTCAAGTGTTCAACTTAACAAACTTCGGTACTTTAGAGTACAACGTCTCAATTTGAAGTATTATTTACTTGTATTTGCGGTGTGTACCGAATTCTGGGACGTCGCTGTTAGTTTTTCTTCAATAAGCAGATTGAGAGGCAACACCAACGTTATCAGAAATTGAAAGGCAACAACATGAATTGATATGAGAATGATAATGTTTTTGGCACTTGCAAAGCAAAAATTTATGAGTGTAAAATTTTCCATAGTTAATAGACTGAGCAAACAAATGCACTTTTTTAGGTTTCATCATGGCAACGTTTTATGTTTGCATACGATTCTACATATGATGTACTTTTGCACAACGGACTTATGCACCATTCGAGATAAACCGCTTAGACGTTTTGCTGCTGTTGCATTACCAAGTGTTCAGAGAGGTATATGTCGGGCGTGCATGACTGATATTTGCTACGAAAAGGCGTAAACGTCGTCGGTTTTGGTCAAATTAAATGCATGTAATTTACTGCACATTGGATTGAAACGTATGCTCGCGCAAAAAAAAAAAACTATTACTTCACGCACCATTGCCCATTGACATTAGCAATGAATGTTCAGATTCACGTTCGTGTGTGTTTTTTTTTCTCATCTGTCATTTTCAAGGTGAACATTTTTCTCCATACTTTGAAAATCGACTATTACGAAGAATGAAGAGCGGATGTGAATGTCATGAGTGAATGTCGGAAGTGACACAACAAATTCTTTCTTTTTGATTTATTTTCGATTATTGTTGTTTGTCATTCAAAAAAGATATATCTATACTTACAATCAGGTTCTTTTCATCGATTGACATATCGGCAATTTTTAAATTGGCCGCTAGCACCATAGTTTCGTGCACCGTAAAATTCGGATACAAATTATCATCTTGCAAAATGTAACTGCATTTTTTCGCATATTTTTGACTGCCCAATTTAACATCGTTCATGTGTATCGATCCACCGACACCGTTTTGACTGTAAAATGGAATAAAAACAGAAAAAAAAATGGTTTAAATAATAAAATATGGAATGAGTACGGACTGAGCTGACAAGAGATTTGGTATACTCACATAAAACCGGTCAGGATATTCAATAGCGTACTTTTTCCAGCTCCTGAAGGCCCCATGATTGCAGTGAGTTCTCCCGATTTAAATTCACCAGAAACACCTTTCAAAATGGTCTTTTTAGCTGCAAAAGCACAGACAAAAAACAAACAATAAAATACAGAATATCGACAAATAATATCCACCACTGTTGGTATAATGACTATTTCTACAAAACATGCTCGTCTTGATGGTAATACTGACTTCATTTATTTTGCTTTGCAACATTCTTCGCTTTGTCTGATCGCTTTGCATTGCGGACAAACGTTCCGATATATTGATTCGCTCAGACACATATATGTCGAAGTGATAAATAAACAAATGTGAAAACCGGCCCATCGACCATCGACCATCGACCGTTCACCATATGTCTTTGTTTGTTTTCATTTTTCACATGTAAATGCAGAAGATAAATTTATTCAGCGGTGTTCTATTCATAACGGACATATTATCGCCATTCGTAATGTACTGTATTTTTATTGAAGATCTTTTGATGCAAAATGAAGACGACGAACCGGTGTGAGTAATCTGTCGCTCATTGTTGAATCATTTTCTCATGAGTCAATTCGCAATGCAAACAAAGATCAAGCAAAAAATGCTTTTTGTTTTGATTTAACGACATTTTTATGGGTGGTTCAATTTGGACTAAAAAAAAAAAAACTTGCATTATGTTGACACAATTGCAATTTTCTATGAATTTAAAAACGAATTAGTCAACTAACACAGCAAATAATTATGGCTGAGTAACAATTACACATGACTTTCTTTAAGCCTTAGGATGACGAAAAAAAAAGAGAAACGATCATTAAGTCAGCATAGAAAACGAGCGCATATTACGTAAATGTAATTATCAACGAACAACAACATCAACGGAGAAGAAAAAAAAAACAACACGAGAATATTGTTTATGTTTGAACTTGATTAAAAAATGGTTTTCACGTAGCGCACACGCCTAACGTCTGCAGTGCAACCATCATCAAATGTGACCTTCACCGTTGTTGCGCCGTTATTACGCACATTAGAGTCTATCAAATGGATTCGAACACGGAATCCGAGCCTAATTAATTCTGCGAGATCAACATACATCGGTATGATGCATAAAATCCATACAAACACACATAGAGAGACACACTTAACGGTATCAATATAATAATACACCAACCATGTGTCGCGACTTCAGAAGTGACAGTGTCTCTGGTTTTTATTTTCGTTGCTGTTTTTTTTTCGTTCCAAGTATAATGACTTTCGCAAAAACATATGTCGGCAGTTCGTGTGGATGGAGCCGTTTTGGCCAACAATTTATGTCTCTTTTTCATACATTTTAGGATCAATTAGCTTTTACTGTCTAAATTAAAGGTTTTTTTTCGCATTTTTTTCTCTCTTTTATTTTTATTCGTTCTCATTGTCTCTGGTTGTCATCACATTGGCTTAGTTACATCAGATCTAATCGCTGTGGTTGGTAGCATTGGTTTAACATATCTAACATTAACCCTGTGCCGAAAAATAAAACACCGCGGCAAAACCATTTTTATCCGAAATTTTTACCGAGAGTCATTCTGAGTAGTGGCAATCAAACTGGTTATAATCAACAAACACAGTGCTTTGATTGAGGTCATAAAATGAAACATTAGCTCAGTCAACATGGCGAATGTGAATCATTTCAAGAAATGATTAGGACCATGTATGTTAACTAGATAAAAAAAAACTGCGTATTAAACAAAGTGTCAACAGTTCAGTTGTTTCTATGCTATTTTAGCATCGTAACTCTTTTTTTTTTTTTTCTTTTAACTAATTCAAATTTATGTTTGGCTTGCGTCGAAATAAATTAATGTCTTTTCCACGTGGAAGCGTTTGCATTGCAAATATACATCAATTTAACACCTTGATCTTGAATTTTAAAGTTAAAACTAACCGACCAATGGAAAGCGAGAGTTATTGGCTACAAATTTCCAAGAAATAAGTAAACAAGTTTCCAACCGTTTTTCGTTGAAACAACTAGTCAAATATCGGAAAGAACAAAATAACTGGCTCTTGACAGGAAGATAGGTAGGAACCAAAGACTTCAATTTTGATAAAACTTGATGGAATTTTTTTCTGTTTTTTTTTTTTCTCGTGGACGATTTCAGTTTCAATAACCTTGACCATGAAGCACATCTTTTCACTTTTTATTTCTCATTTTACCACAGCATACGATCGCATACTTTCTCTTGCACCTACCCATCAATGATTCCGAAGCAAAAGCCAATTTCATCTCATCTGTATTTTTGTTTACACAGTTGATTATTATTTCACTCGCTTTAGGTTATGAGACAGTCGAGTGTCGGCTATTCGATCGATGCAACACCGTCGAACGATACACGTAATTATATTGTCATCATCATTCATTTTTATCATCAAAAGCAAACAATGAAAACTCTTATCTGATTGCATCAGATGCGTCGAAATGAACGTCAAGGTTGTTGCCGGCTTAGCAGCGCGCTTCAATGAAGTGTGTTTTAAATTTTCATTTTGTTTGTTGGTTGGTCGGTGTTTTTTTTTTAATATTCAGGTTTGGCAGTAAAAAAAATATGTTAAATCCGTTGCTTTTTGGTTGAAGTGTTTTATGCTATCTGCACCTTGTGCCGTATGTGCATGTGTGCTGAAGCGATCGATGGTCACATGCTAATGATAATAGCAGAAAAAAAATTCTACTACAAAATGTCTAATGTTTTTACTTTTGAATGCCGTTGGCGCAAGGCTCATTTGGAATTTTCGATAGTATCGATACTACCAGATCTGGTTTGCGACTACTATCAATTTAAACATGAAAATTTGCTCTTGAAAATGATTTTATTTGTATGCTATTTGAGCTGGGCAATAAAATGGAAAGCATAGAGTTTGATGACATTCAATTTACAATGAATTTAAATTAACTACAGCTGGTTGGTGTGATGAAGAAAATGGAAAATGACAAAAGCAATCCATTTCGGTGGATATTTTTGGACTGACATTAAAATTGATGCAAATAAGACATTTTCTTCTTATTTGTTGTAGTTGTACTTGATATTTTTCCTTCATTCTAAAGATCAACCGAAATGACTCGCTCTTCGTCACCTGATTTGATAAGCGGAAATACATATTTTCCGAATTGAAATTTTAATATCATCGAAAAAGGTCAAAAACTGGTTACGGCGTTATTTGAACGTCGTAAAAATGAGTTGCGATTCGCAATTTACGAATTATACGAATTTTTGCAAGTCATGGCACCAAAGAAGGAACATATTTAAATGAACACAATTGCTACAAGCCATTTATCCAATGGGTATTATGTAGCATGTGGCGATCGTATACCAAAGATATTCGTTTTCTTTCCGCTGTTATGGTTGTTAAGTTCAAGTTCATGATCGTAACACTGGATCTTACTTTCATCTACCGAACTGGACTGAGTCAACAATGGCAATTGTATAATACGACGAAGCGAAAAATATTGCACTTAAATCGAAATCATTAAAAACAAAACGAGCGTGATATTTGTTTATGGTTTAAATGTGTCAGCGACAAAAAAGAAATATCGGCATGACTGCGATTGTTTGGCGTTTTTTTTTCTATTTCCTCGTGTAATGTGTAATGTTTACTCACCTTTTTCTCGTGTAACAGTGTACGATACATTTTGGAACTTTATGTTCTGTGGCTGCAGTTTCAAGTCCATTGTGAGATGAGTAATCGCTTATTTTTCTCTCAGTTCTCGTTAAAACACAAAGTTCAATCACTCCAGCAACGATGATCTGGCGAATCCACGGCACTTTAGCACTTCTGAAATATGACAACGAAAAATAATTATGTAATTCAATCAGCAGAAGAAGAAAAAAAAAAAACAAATCGTGAACCTTCAACACGGAGTTGTTAATACAACAATGACTAGAATTAATGGGTGCCAGAGGTAACATAAAAAACAGATTTTTTTTTGCGTTCATTCAATTAATATCCGCATACTTTCAACATTTCAATGAATAATTTGTTCTCATTGAGAACTTCTCAACAAGAAAAGAGGGAATAAACAGCAAAGTAATTCAAAAACCATTGTTTTGGATGATTTTCACGATCGATTTGATTATTAAAAAAAATAATAGGTTAATTCTCAATCAATCATCAAGAGCTATTGCGTGCTAAGCCGGTAGAATTTCTCGGAATCATCTGTGTATGATTTACAATATTTCGAAAACATCTAGCAGAAAGAACATTAAAATTTTACGATTTTGCAACCTTGAACGTGGAAAATATTTGAACTTAGTCTTCCGTATATAGAACTAGCAATTTTTCTAAAATTATATTTGGAAATGATTTCCCAATAATTTGTTTCATTATTTTCAATAGAAATTGAGAATTTCGGGAATAACTTCAACTTGGAATTTTTAAGCAACATTGTAAATTGCATAACCTTTTGGCGGAATTGTTCTTCATTGACCGTTTAATCGTTTTTACGATAGTCACGATTTTCATAGATGCTTGTTTCAGTTGCACACTGTATTTTAAATCAAAGTGAATTTAATTGATTGATCGACCACACGTGTTGATGTTTTTTTTTTCCAACTTTTTTTTTCTGATAAATAGAAAAAAGGCGCAATACGTATTATGTTAGAGTTAAGTTAAATAATTCTTATTAATCTCATCAAATACTGACCTATGCCTTAATCAATAATTAAAACGTAGCACAAGTTGTGTCTCAAATATGTCAAAGTACAAATCACAAATCGTCAACTGATAATCAACTACTTTCTATCATGTTCATTCGATTCGGCCCAATCAATCAGTGGTATCCCAGTTTATTGTGTTAAATTGCATTTGCGTGCACAACATAGACGTTCTGTTTTCATTTTCTACTGACCGCGATAATAATTATACTCATCTTTCGGACGAGTCGATCATCATTTGTTTGTTGATGCAAAACAAATCAATTCGATGCTGATAAGCAATGTAACAATATTTTTTTTCTGCTCCATTATTACTATTAGAAATTAATCGAATTGAGAGAAGCAAAACACACACACACTGTGCGACACACACAAATTGAATGGCACATGTATGTTCGCAGCAAGCAGCGCATTGAATCTGCTGGCTATGTAGTGCTGCTTTTGAACAGCGGCTGTTGGTTACGTTCTTGTGCTGCGACACACTGTAGGCCCTGCGCACCATCTCTCTAACAGGCATGAACATGCACAAACGTAGTACACACATAGCTCCGTCTGCATGTATTGGTTGGCGCGCAGCAATCTTAAGTACGTAGCCAACAGACGCTGTTGACAGCAGCTGTTCAAAAGCAGCGCTACATAGCCAGCAGATTCAATGCTCTGGTAGCAAGTGACATTCACCAAGCACATGAATGACGAATAAATTTTTCCGAAAGGTTTATTGGTTTGATAAAATTTCCACACTCATTCAAATGAGTTGAATTTACGAATCAAAGTCAAAGGCACTGGCGTCATAGCACCATCACAATGCTTGTTCAGCGATTGATAAAAAAAGCAAGTGGCTACAAATATGGAAATATCTCAAAAATAGATATCCAAATAAAGAATATTCGCGAATGGTTTCGAGTTATGACGACAACAATACGCGGCGGCGTAGACAACTCAAAAGTAATCAAACATTAATTTTATGAATTCAAATGTTTTGATATTTTTAATTACTATTGTTTCCAATTTCAATTAACTTTATAATTTTGTTTGTTTGTCTTGAGTAAATACATCGTGGATATTGCACAAGTGATGTCGATTAAATAAATTTTTCCCTGATCGTTCGATAAAACAGTCAAGTATATTGTACTCGTCTCTCTTATGATTCATTATTAGAAATGCTGTTGTTGTTGTTGTTGTTCGGAAGGAATCCAATAAGAAGACGAACGAATGTTTTGCTTCAATCATCCAAGCAGCAATTGCATCGCACTACGAAATTAAATGCACGAATAATTGTCTTAGTTACGGCACATTAAAAGCGCTCTCTGACTTCGAAAATTTATTGTTCGATCAACGAGAGACACAGAGAGAGATACATAGAGAAAAAAAAATGCGGCCCGGAGATTTCATCACGTATCCGAGTGTATAGTACGATTACTACTCAAATTCATAAAGCGAGGGAAGAAAAAAAAAATCACATTTGATCATAATTATTTATACGGATTACAACAGACTGACACAAAGTCTGTGTTAGGTGTTAATGATATATTGCGCGACTTGTTTTCGCTGCTGATTTTTGCCGATAATAAATATTTTGTTTAAGTTCAACGTATGTTTTTTTTTTCTCTTCATTTGGGAAAATCAATTTTCGATTTTACCATAATTTGTGAGTCAGGTTTTCAATTACACCGCTTTTTTCTCTTTATTTTTTTCTTTATTCGTTGTTGTCGGCCGGTTAACCCAAAGTACTGGTTCCGATGACATTAAATTGACATGGTTCGAGCTATCGCAACACGATGTGCGAGAATGCACTTGCACTTACAAACCCCGACTATGTGTGTCATATTGATTTCGTAAATGTTCGACGCTGGCATAATAGCGTAGAACACTGACTGTTTGACTTATAGATGTGGCAGTCAACCCGCATTGAAGCCGCTGTGTTAGGTGAGTTGTTTGGCGCATAATCTCTGTGTACAGAAAAATGCGCAATATATAGCTATATAGCTTTTGTGTGGTAGATTCAAGACGACAATGTCGCTCCACGATTATGGATTTCTCAATTTTTGATGAACGCAAACCCAAACGAAATTCATTGAATTCTTGCGGTTAATTCAATCAAAGATAATAATTCTTCAAATTGCAATCTCAATTTGAATTTAGTTATGAGGCCAACATGTTACTTAGTGCCGGTTGCGGCATACAATTGAAGTTGATTTTTTTTCGTTCCGTTGGGGCAACGTGTTTGGAATCATGCTGCCAATCTTATGAAGCAAATCGCGCACCATTCAGTCAAACCACCATAACAAATTGGGCAAGTTAACGAGACATTTTCCGCATGTGTTTTTTTGTATGTGGTTGCTGTTTTTTTTTTTAATGAGTTGGTATACGTGTAAAACCTGCGTATTTCATAAAGTTATTTCCGATATTATATACATATATACGCAAAAGTATGCGAACTGATGAATAAGCGCACTCCATTGAGCCTAATAGATCGTGAGAACGTCGATCAACCATTCAACAGCTGATGAATGATGCAAGCTGGTGCACACATACGCACACACGGACAACATTCATCGTACTATCGACATGTATTGCTCGCCACAAACAACGTAACGGTGTTAGCAGTGACTGTGTTTTACTATGTCTATGCCAAATCTAACAGATCATTCGATGTGAAAAACTCATAAAAATGGTGCACAAAATTGCGGCTTTTTGAAATCTTTGATCTAATCATAGGCTTACGCGTTGACTGAGTTTGTGTGTATGTGTTCGATTTGTTTTTGTCTTTTACTTATTAAATGCTCAATCATGATCTTCGGCACAACGAAAATGCATTGACTCTTTCGTCGATTTGTATCGAACGAAAGAAGAAAAAAAAAAAACTCGAAAAGTATGTAAAAGTATTGCAGTATTGGTCGATGGTTGTTGAAAACTGAATAATGCGAACGAACGAACGACGTACACAGTCTCGAACACCGTGAAAAAATAAATCGAAACACACAGATTTCAGTTGAAATTGCATTCACCAAACGAGTTGGATATCGCATATAATGAGCTCAATGAGCTGTATGCTATGCGCCTATGAGAGTGTGCTCACGTGCGATTGCAAGTTCATTTATACAATTATATGTATATAAATTCGATACAGAAATGTAAACGCATGAAAAACTACTCGAGAACAGAAATAACTGGGTCAAGAATCATCAATGGAAATCCATATTTTCGTAGTGTTACGAATTTGAGTTTAAATAAAAAATCAACGATATTTTTACGCTCTCTCGCTCTCTCTCTCTCTCTATCTCTCTCGTTCGATGAAACAAAAAATTCAAGCACTCTCTCAATATCATCGGGGGCCACCATTCAAATTGAAATGTGACTTTCAACTCTCTCATTTGCATCACGAAACTCCAATTATTCCGTGAAAAACAAAAACGATAAATTTAAATAAGTTGAAGAAGGGCGTGATTTTCAAATTAAACTCATTTATTTACTGTAATTGTATCTCGCTCGCATGACTACTGGCAAATGCGCACAATGGCAAATGATTTTTTTGTCTACCGATTTTTTTTTCTCTCTCTCTTTGGAGCGCATCATAATTGCAACACGGACTGTGCAATGTGGCTGCAAAGAGCTTAACGAGATTCAACGAACGCATGATGCTCTGATCTGTGACTATGCGATAAAAAAACAAATTCGCTATTTTTATTTGCATCCACATTTTTCTGTTTGTAATACAATCACAAGCTTTGCTAACCACCAAACCGCTAGCTCTTTGAAAATCATTTTATTGCATAATTAAATATTTCAAGTGCAGGTGAACTCATGTGAAAAACTACAGCCGGAATGGAGGAAAAAAACAACAGCAACAACAAACAGACACCATCGACCGCTACCAACCAGTGAAAAGAGATTGAAATGTGTGTGTGTGTGTGTGCGTGCAAAGAGTGCGGGTGGCACGACACTGCTGTGTTGGTTGGAAAATACAAACGAATGTGAAATCGAAAATATGTACAGACAAAAAAAAAAAATAACACAGTAACCAACGCCACTTTTTAATGGCATAATGCATTTCAAGCGGCCCGACAAATTGTATTGTGGCATTTAACGGATTGTGGCCAGGCATTGTGTGAACTCAACGAACAAATGAATTACAAATGCAAAAACATGCAAACATTTTGCGGTGAAAGACAAATGAACGCAATTATGAAATCCATATAGAGTGATATGTGTTTTATTCCAAAAAAAAAACATGTGTCAATGGAGATTTGTAATGAGCAATAACAATGAAAAATATCAATTTTTCGTGCCATTCGGTGTGTTTACGTGCATTTTCAACAAACGACGCCGGATGCGACGCACTTTGATCTTGTAAACAAAAAATATTGTGAATCATTTAATCAGTTCGCAAATGTTAGTTATTCAATACAAATGCGATTAAAACTGAAATTGTTTTCGTTTTTATTGCAAATGCCTGCAATAGTTGTTGCACTTGTCAGTTCGTATCACGATCAGCAAATCAAACATATGGAATCAGTTTGGAGCTTGTTTACATTCCACTGGGATCTTCCATTTGACGAGATAAACGATGTTATCAACTGTGGCACAACTTGCTCAGATTGAGAGATAAATGAATAGACGCAGTGAAAGAGAGACAAAAGTGATTAAAAGTGATAGAAGGAGGGAAAGAAGGGCGCAAGAAGAGAGAGAGCATTTCAAATGCTTTCAATTTTCATTACACTACTCTCAACCTGAGAGTCTCAGGTATACATTAAATACTTGGCTACGTGATCAATTCCGCATTGTTCTTGAGAATGAGCTATTTTATTGCCAATTACCCGGCTCGTGCTAAATGTGGTTCTAAGTTTTACATTGTTGTGTTGTACGTGCTCACCCGAGCCCAAGTCAAAAACAATGATGTTGAACTGTGGCCTGTCGATGACAACTTTCAATAAATCATTACAATACGATAATTGTTCAAAATTTCACAGTATAACATTTTCGAATCAGCTGACACATCTTATTAAATCGATCAGTATCTTGTTGTATTTAATGTAAGAAAACGATTTTTAATACATTTAAAAAGCATTTTTCCGGTTTTCTACCACATTCATATCACCAAGTGTTCAACACTGTCTCTAGTTAAATTGCCAACACTTGACACAAATGACTCTTTGCAATATCGTGCTGATTGAGAGTGTAAGTATTTGGGATCAATAAGGTGAAGTAATGCTACTGTTACGGGCTGCACCCAAATGTCGTTAAAAACCCGTTCTTCATTGCCCGTGATAATAGAAGAATGTATCTGATTAATTATCTAAATAAAAAAATTGCACCACTGCGTTCAACGCCGCCAAATCAATTCGTATGCTTTTATAATCTGGTATAGCGGAAAAAACAACACAATGATCTTTGAAAACCTTTTTTTCGCATCAAAATATTACATTTGGCGCGCACACATCAATGAAGGCGTCAGAATGTTGAATGAAACAACAGTGCGAAAAGAAAAAATCCCTTCATTTATGAACAGCACAGTAATTATCATCTGTTTATTAGCTGTATGACCGATCAGGATAGCTTGCATGATTCCACGTGTTGTATTTCAATATTAATGATAATTGCGTGATTATCCACCTATTAACATTTTCTCTGCCGTTTTTATGGAAATTCAACAATAAAATCGAAACTCGTTGCCAGCAATTAAACGATTCTATAATTTCTGAATAGAAACTTTACTTCAAAGAAATACACTATACTTTTACTCTTGTTAAGATCAAATTTTTGCACAAAAATCGACCAAAAATAGTTTTTTTCCGCTTTCACGTAAAAAAAATTGATTGAAAGAACAAAGAGTGTTACGTCACCAAAAAAAAAAAAAACAATTCGAATGATGGCAAAAGGTTGGATGGCACATCTATTCTGGGAATGATCAGTTTTTTCCACTTGAAAATTTACATTTAAATCTTTGTTCCGCTTGAATATGGGTATTAAAATTCGGTTTTTGTCAACAAACCTGAGCTGTTGCGCTGTTTACATGATAAAAATAGGAACAAAGGTCCAGAATTTAGCATTTGGACGAATGCTGAGTGGTAAAGATCCGAGCGAAAAGCAGTAAATCGTGTTGAATATTGTTTTGATCGGTTCACTTAGCTTGGGCAAATGTGTAAGAGCCCGCCGATTATTCGGATCGAAGGTTAGATTGTATAATTGCCGTAGAACAAATGTTTGTAAACATAATTAATTAAGTTTTGCAAGTAAATACCCATAGACCGTGATGCTAGTGCATTGCATACGGAGACATAACATTTTCAATGAAATGTCAGCATTTGAAAATATGTACAATGCAACCGCATTTTTGTCACTGTTAAGCATGAAGAGTTAGAAACACTGAGCAAATAGTACTCGAACCGATTTGCATTCGACGCCTGCGTATCAGAGCACATTACATTTCTACATATCATACCGATTAACTGTACATTTCGGTACAATAACCAATTCATTGTGCGGCATGATTTATTTTTGTGAATTTATATCACCAAAGCAAGCATCGGCATTGAAATAAAAGCCAGTTTTTAACGTACGAAATCATGTTAATTTGTGTTTTCTCTTTCTTGCCTACTGCACAAATACGGCAAAATAAGTCTATATGAATGAAAGCAAATTACTTGAAATGTAAATACGAACATAAGCATGTGGCATTATTTAGTGCGTCAAAATGTCATGCCGATAGCTAAACTATATAAATAGCATATGCGTATGCATTAGATTATATAGCATGAAAAAACGGAAGTAATTTGATTAAAATACGATCAACAACTGAAGTGTTGCAACTTGATTGTGATAAAGGCAGTCGGAATGCTGGCAAAATAATGTACGTATTACACTCGCTTTATGTGAGACATCGAGTCAACACATTTTAGCGTCTTTTAATCGATTTACTGGTTATACATGTTGAGAGTTGAGAATTTTCTAATTTAATTTACACTTTATCAAAATGGCAAAAACAAAATGATCTTGTGACAAAAAAAATCACACACACACACACACACACATACACAGGGGGAAAAAAATGACAAGATTTATCGTCTGAATATCCAAATCAACTTGAAAAATTACAATAAAAAAAAAACAACAACAACCTACCGTGTAAGACGTCACTGCACGAAACCTTTAACTAATGAATATTTAACACTGTTCGACTTGTATATCCCGAAAATCAATACGTTCAAGTGCTTGAATTAAAATGCGTTAAAAACGAGTAACTTCAATTAATACATTCGGAACGCAACGAATCCCTTTTTGCATTCGATCAACAATATTGACAATTTTTTTAAATGCAGTCCAATTAAACGTTCATTCGATGTCAACTTTGCTTTGGGCTGATTTCGTTGAAACGATATTAAAAAACGTGTAGTAACGGAAAATACGCCGATTGATTTCTCAAAAATCTACTGTTCTCCCAAAAATTCCTTCAAAAGAACAAAACAAAAACCGAATCTTTTCAAATCGTCCGTATGGCGGTCTTCATAATGCCAATCAAATCTTTTATTCTTACGAATTGTTTATGTTATTTTATTGTTGCTTTTGTTGAATTCGTATCGGGGACGTTTTTATTATTTATTTATTTATTTATTTATGTCAAAATCATTATTCAGCTTGGCTAATTGGATGTTGGTTATTTTGATTTAAAATGGAATTAAATTCAATGAAAAAAAAAAAAATTACAGAGAGAAAAACGCTTGAACACAAGAACAACGAAAAAGAGGAAGAATGAATTCAAGTTGAACAAAAGTATTCAGTGCCCGCGCGATATGCAAGCACGCATTGATCTCTGTCGACGACCGTTTTTATTTAAACGAAGTTATAAACTAAACTGTGAGACGATTCGAACCGTGTGTAGCTGAATCGTTGTTCAAATCGTTGGTGTTCGGTCGTGGTTGTATAGTAGTTGGTGGTTTTATGACACACTCAGTTCCTTTCTCGTAGTATTCAGCCTGTGTCGACTAGAAAAATTGAAACAAAAATTGCCGATTTGTTGTTTGCTGTTGCTGCTGTTGCCTTTTTTTTTTCCAAAACATCGTCACTGTGTATGGCATATTAGTCGGTCCGTTGTGGTCTTAGTGCGGTTTCAACTGATTTGACAGTGGTTGTGTGTGTGTGTGTGTGTGTGTATGTGACACATGCTTAGCAATGGCATAGTGCGGTGCATGTGCCCGAAACATACACACAAACACTGAACCGTACGCATACACTGTGGTTACCTTGTTATTGTTGTTGCTCTACTCTGATCAATTTGTATTTTAATATACCGATTTAATTTAATTGGCGACTTTGAAAATCGATAGAAGAGCGCGTAAAACAACAGTAGTATAGCATATGATCGAGACATTGTCGATCAATCGCACACCACTATTACAAAGTAATCGGACAGGTATTCAAAACAATTTGCGTATTAGCTAAAACATCTAATGTAATACCCCAACAACAACATCGACAACGACAACGACAACGGCAACGACAACCGAAAACGATGAAAGATGAACACACGAAAATTGAAGAAAGAAACAAAAAATCTGTAGAAGCAAGTCATCTTTGCACAAGCAAAAAACTCAGATAAAAACACAAAACAGATCACTTCCAAAACACGGGCGAATGTATGCTTAATATGCCGATTGACGCAAGCAAAAAAGAGACAACATACTCATATCTTTTGCATAGACCCCGTACACACATACACACCAACAAACAGTAAAACGTGGTTTTTTCCCTCTCTTCCACATTTCATTCGTCATTGTCAGCGTGCCGTGGACAATCGAATCGATGTGCCTTTATCAATAATAACCATTTCAGCATAATCATAACAATGAAATAAGCATAAGGCAAACCACATCGAATCGGATTTACTACGTATACAGAGAGAAAGAGAAAGAGCAGATCACAGCTCGTTGTTCCAACTCCTTGCTCAAATCACTCGATTTGTTCGCACATCTTTTAGAGAAGAATGAATAGCAATATCGCAACATAGTATGTGTGTGCGTCTTGCTTTCTATCCGATTTAAACGACCACTTAGAAACAACTATTCTTAATTTATTTTAATAAAACTGACATTTCAACACCCAACGTTCTTCGCTCAAGTGAGTTCTCAACGGAGTTAAGCTAAAATATTCGACAGATTGTAAATTTATTTGGCATTTCGATAAAAATGCATATATTTATTCTTTGTCGACCTCTATATTGATAAAAGTTGACGTTTTACATTGAAAAACTTCCCGCAAAATGTCTGTATTGTGTTCCGATATGAATTCATATTTTCAATTACACCGGCTGAAATGTGTTCCTGTTTGTGACTTCGTTTCCAAGCAAACATTATGGCCCTCGGAGTCTCGATTATTTTCTTCGATCGATATAATTGCGTGTGTCCAATTAGAATGCTCCATATCGTATATGTATGGTGCCTTGTCCATCCATAAACGCTTTTCAATATATTTCCAATGATAAGCGGTAATTGTTCGTCCAAACTGTTGCATTTTTTATTAGAAGCAGCTCGTCCTTTCAGTCGATATTTACCAATACATCATAATCCACTTACGTTTATTATTCGTGTATGAAAAACAATCGATTCCTACTTAGATATGTATATACAGAGCTATGAACTCGATGAAATTGTTTGTCTTTCTAACGTCATCGCCGTCTGCTTGTTCTGCTTTCGTTTTGCATTTTTAAATTGTCTACCATCTTAAGTTGAATGTTTGCCCAAGCCTCCAATTCAGTTCGTTACAACCATTACTCAAAAGTGCAGTACGTTATCTCATCAAAATGCGTGAATTCTAATTTTAAACTTATTAGGAAGTGAGTGAGTGTATATATTCAATTCATTGTCGAATTTTATTGTCTGTGTGCACGAATGCACGTCATAAATAACTTGCAATTCAAATCGTATTACTTTTTCGGCACCAGTTCGTGAGAATTGGTTCGGCTGGCTGGCTCTACAATACTATACAAGTTTATTTTAAGATCCCGATTTCGAACAAGGTTAAAACTGAACAGGCGGTGAAAAGAAGTGAGCAAATGCAACGACGAAATATGGATTCAACAAAAGAGAGGGAAAAAAAATTACATCGAACTAGAAACTGGGTAGCACATGTTTTATTTGGCCGTGTGACGTGTGATATGACACGTTACATGGTCAAATTATGTGAGTTTGTCATGTCATATGTGATGTTGTACACCGTGTCGTATTCCACTTGTTTGAATTCGCTGTGTAAAAGCGTTTAAGCCAAAAATTATGCAATACAAAGGTTTTTATATTACGGATTGGCATTCGTGCTGTTTAACATTGAAACGTGCATTTTCTGGTAAATTATTTAATTTTGATTGCTTGGAATTTTTTTCTATTGTTGTTTTTATTCTCTAGTCCAATAGGATTTGTGAATTGCACGCGAACCTCATGTCAGTCGGGTTAAATGGAAACGAGTTTTACACTTGATCTTCCTATTAACCATAAATGTAAATAACAATTCAAGAACAATACGTGCATTGGAAATGTAAATCTATTCGACGGAGTTCAAGAGATATCCTCTAATCGGCAATCATTTCATTTAACCTCACGATGCGTTCAGCGTTTTATTTTCTAATAAGGTGATTGAGGTGTGTTTTTCCACTTAATTAAAATGTAATAAAAATCAATTAATTGGGTAGTTAATCAGAAAAGTGAGATCAAACTATTGAGCAAAGCTGAGTCGTTTCAGACGTTTCAACGCCGTTTGTGTGATCAAGTTTTATGTGTGTGTGTGTGTGTGTGTGTGTGTGTTTGGCTGAGTGAAGAATAAGTAACAAATTTAGTGTTGGTTTCAAATAACGTGCCGCTAAACGATTTCCTACAAATTATTGCATTTGTAGCGCTGCACGTTTGTATTTAACAAAAAAAAAGAAGAAGTGGAAATTGTTGCTCTTATCGAAACCATTCATCCGTTTCAATTTTTGACGACGCTCAGATGTGTCGATGCACGAAAGCCATCAATCAAATTAATTATCTAATATTTATAATCGACATTTCATGACGCGTCGTTTCTTTTTGTATGTGACTGTGTGTTCAATTCATTGCAAACTTTATGGCCATTCATTAAATCATTGATTCATTCATTAAAAATATGCATTGCACGTCATGTACTTTAGACTATATGCAATTCACTCTTTGGAACTATGTATGGGCGCCTCACACAAACGTATTACGTAATAAATCCGAATCCGACAAAAATGAGCATTTTATTGGCTCATTCCATGCATTGTTCACACATGAATCGGCTTGATTTTCTTCTCCCTTTTTTTTTATTCGAACCATTTGAGATATTTTTCATTCGGTAGCTTCAGACGATTATAAAATGAATCGAATTTTATGCTTATATTCCAAATGGAAATATTGCTTCACACGATGCATGTATCAATTTTCATTCGGCTTAAACCAAATCAATACGGTTTGATATGCATATTATTCAAAATCCGGCGATGGAACAGTATGTAAATGTGCTCGCAATAACATTTTGACTATCGATGGAAATATTGGTGATGATGGCGTTGCACGATATGCGCCATGAATAATAAGATGATTTAAATTGCATATCATTTTCGATATGATCCTTTCATATCTGGACCTTCTTCTTTCACTACTTATTATTGCCTGCATGTTGCCATCTTTTTTTTTCTTCTTCTTTCTTTTGCCACTTTCATCTCAATCCATGATTGTGTTTCCTTTTTAATTTGATCGCATCGAATCGGATTAGATTGCAAGTGAGAGAATATTATTTTTTTATTGGTTATAAGATTACACGAAGACATGGAGTGAATAAATAATTGGAAAATGTTCACACCATACATTTTTCAGCTTTCTTATTCATTTTTCTTTCAACGGAAATCCCATATATCCCATATCTCTGGGGATTTTATCGGTCTCAACTTTGTTTTTTTTTTCGATCAAGCGTCGAAACTGTTTTTGCAATTCAAAGCATCCGTTCTTGGGCCAATATTCTAAGGAATCTAAAATACAATCTTCAAACGGAAAAAATGACCGTAGTCAAATCAATGAAGATTGCCGTTTTATTGTTTTCGCTAAGAAAAATAAATTTTTTGAAGAACTGCGACGATAGTTACACTGCTACTTTTCGAAACTGTTATCCTACCAGTGCCACACATGTTTACAATTTTTTCCCTCGAAAAATCAATTTTCAGAAATCGTCGCCATCAAGATATCGAATATGTGATGTCAAACGTCTGATTTGAAAATTGTGGAATAACGGGTATGAATGAAAAATCGCTGCTTTCCGTTCTCATTTTCATTGTACCAAACATTTTACTGCTTCTCAAGCAGCGTCTCTGAGTAGCAAATAATCCACTGGGCGAAGTGACCATGCTGCCACCGTCAAAGTTTCCATCATCAATAACATTGGGGCCAGGTTCTTTATTGCTTGAATTGTCATTTTTATCGCCGTTTTCTTTGCATTGGCTTCCATTCGAGACACAGTAGTATGAAAGCATCTTTATTATGGAAGCATCTTTAATCGCATTGTTGACGTCCAAAATCTTTATTCTAGATATCAGACATCTTCAATTCAGAAATAAATTTATCCATATTGATGACTGTATAAGAACTTTGACGGGCTTATATTGCGTAGGAATGTGATCGATCAAATGTAAATTAGATCTGTGTGACTGTCCGTAATATTCAGAATTGTTTACAAAAACAAAAAATTGAACTTTTGTTTTTTAATGAGTTTCTAGTCCCAAAAAGTGTTCGTTCACGATATGTATACAAGATCAATAGGGGCTGTTTCTCATGAACGTGTATGTCTGAAACACTAATCGTAAAGTGCTGAAATCTCATTGAATTTCAAAAGAAAAAAAATATTCCATTTATCTCGTTCAAATAATCAACGTAAACTCCAGTAATATTTTAATTAAATGTTGATCTGTTTTCTTCAACTGTAATTGTTATCACATGTAATGATTGTTTAAATGCTGAAGATAATAGAGCTGCGAATAGAATTGCAAACTAAAACGATGTTAAAATGGAGCTGGCAAAAATAAGAAGAAG